GCTCTTAATTGATCCTCCAAATTACCTACCTCATGGTCTCTAAATAAGCTTACTTCTTCAGATGGGCCTACAATTCTATATATTCAGTATCATTTCTCATAAAAGAATCTGAACACCATAGCTCAGTTACCTCTCTAATCATTTATTTTTCCTTGTCATTGAAATTATATGTAGATGTTATAACCTTAAACTAAATTAAGCCATAATTTTTTTGTTTTTGTTATTTATAAAAAATAGGAAAGGAACAAAGAGGGAAGAAGAAAGATCAAGAGGGAGGAAGGAAGGGCTGGGGATTTAGCTCATTGGTTCTGCTGCCTGCCTCACAAACACAAGGTGCTGAGTTCAATCCTCAGTACAAATAAAAAAGAGGCTGGGGATTTAGCTCAGTCATTCTGCCGCCTGCCTTGCAAGTAACAATGACCTGAGTTCGATCCCCAATACCAAAAAAAAAAAAAGCAGGAAAGAAGTAAAAGGGAGAAAGATAACCATAGTTCACACTGAGTAGATGAATCAGTAGCTGGCATCTGACTTGGCATGTTTTGCCCTCTCTCTCCCTCATAGTATTCCTCCAGCCTTCAGACAAGATAAAACTTTCTTCTACTTTCTTGAGCCTCTTTTTATATTAATTGCTCATTTAGAAAGCCCTAGGTTTTTAAAGGATTGACCTTGTATTTGGAAAAGAAACAGAGCTGAGCACAATCAGTATACAGCTCTATTTCTACCACTCTGTGCCCCAGAATCATAAATAGTAACTAAATGGCTTAGCCAGTGTCCACTTTCCCCATAATGGCTTGGCTCCATATGGCCAAGTACTTTACAGACTCCTCCAACTGAAACTAGAGCCAAATGTGCTGGCAGCAGAGTCGTATATCTCACTGCCAAGGCTGGAATGGGCTTTGAATGGCCTATTAACAAACAGATAGTTCCAAAATCTTATTAGAAGAGGAGCATGTGGAGTTACCCTGGTGGCAAAGTATAACACATTTTTTTGTCATAAAGTTGTATAGAAACATGGGTGTGTCAAACCTATGTTTATTCTTTAGACTATTTCTATTGATGAGTTATTAATTTTAATTTTGTGAGTTTTATTATGTTAATGAGTGCTTAACAGGAGAAAAGTAACAAAAATAAAGTATTGCATTTTTAGCATTTATTTATAAAACATCAAAATTTTCAACATTGGGCTGGGGATTTAGCTCAGCGGTTCGGTGGCCTGCCTTGCAAGTGCAAGGACCCGTTCAATCCCCTGTACCAAAAGATCAAACCTATGTTTATTCTTTAGACTATTTCTATTGATGAGTTATTAATTTTAATTTTGTGAGTTTTATTATGTTAATGAGTGCTTAACAGGAGAAAAGTAACAAAAATAAAGTATTGCATTTTTAGCATTTATTTATAAAACATCAAAATTTTCAACATTGGGCTGGGGATTTAGCTCAGCGGTTCGGTGGCCTGCCTTGCAAGTGCAAGGACCCAAGTTCAATCCCTGGTACCAACTGGTTTTTGGAGTACAAAGTCTAAAAAAAGAACAACAAATAAATTCCTATGTGAACTACAATAAAAATACCAATAGCTCTCTATAAAAAAATTTTCATTTATCACACCTAAGGCTGTCTTCACACATGACCACAGCATGTTCCATACGCACATATTGCTTACACTGACAGCACATGTGATTAGCTTTCCTGGCCTCTTTGTAGGAAACATTTGACATCTTGCTGGTCTTGCTATTTTGTCAGGAGGTTCTTACTACATTATACAGGGTGTATATAACAGAAACATAAAATATCAATAAAATAAACTTGAATTATTAATATATATTGTGTGTTTAGAATAAACATCAAGATTTTCATATCAGCTGTGTACCTGCTTACAAAACCTAACAGATAACATCATAAATAAAAACCTCTGTGAACTGCAGTGAAAATACCAGTACAGCTCTAACAACAAAAATAATCTTGGCTTCAGTTGTCACACCCAAGGCAGTCTGCACACATGACAACTTCATGTTCCATGCACGTATATCACTTACACTAACAGGGCAGGACCTGTGCTTAGCTTTTCTTTCCTGTGTGGCAGGCCATTCTTGTCACCTCTTTTCTGTTTTTTCAGGAGCTTCCTACTTATATTGTACCATGTGCACTTAGGGAAATCAGATACCATTAAAATAAAATATCAGATGTGTAATGAGTGCTTAGAATACACATCAGCATTTCACATCAGCTATTTACTTGCTTAGAAAACTTGAGATAACCTCAGAAAACCTATGTGAACTCTGATGAAAATACTAGTACAATTCTATTACAAAAATAATCTTTACTTAAATTGTCATACCCAAGGCAGTCTTCATACATGAAAATTGCATGTTCCATACACAAATATCCCTTACACTGATAGCACATATATTTTGTTTTCCTGTTCTTTCTTGTAGGGCACAGTTGACATATTTTTGGTTTTCCTGTTGTTGTAGTAGTTTTTTTCGATGCTGTGCCTGCCTGTTCACCTGTCATTTCTCCAGTGTAGGCCACAAATTTTTTTTTTTTTTTGCTTAGTTCCATGGACAGAAACATTTTATTTTTTCCACAGCTATAAATGATCTCTTATGAGTCCCAGTCCAAATCCTTTAAGAAAATTTCTCCATGGTGTTTTGCACTTGTTATTTTCTTTGTAAACTACCAAAATATTTGTCACACATGTTTAGGATCTAGTGAACACAACCATTGGCCAATGGTTAGTGTTTCAGATGACATCTTAGATGCTGCATGACTCATGAACAACATCTACTCCACCTTTAGTTTTGTTACAAAAAGTTTCCATCTCAGGCTTCCATTTTATCAAAATTTCCCTTTCAGTATTTCCATCATGGTGCAACATTGAAATCAGCAGTATCAGTTTTGTTTTTCTTTGCCATATACAAAGCCAAGGTAAATCTTTCTGAAATCCAAAGATTGTGGTTAGTATACAATTCTCTGTTTTGAAATTGGAACATTTCATTTGGAATTTCTGCTTTGTTCCTGTGTACAGTTCCTGTACTGGTCAACTTGTGCTCTCTTAGCAAATGTAACATTGATTGGAAATTGGTAAACCAATTGTCAAATGTCACATTCCAGTTAGTTTGGGAAATGTGAGCAACAAGTCTGTTCACAATATCATTCAGTTTATTGCTATACAAATAACCTCATGGCTGAGTTCCAGGATTAATTTCTAAATTGAAAGCATAAAGGGCATACATTTTTATGTCATATTTTGACCCACCACTTTTCCATAAGTTTTTTGCATTTCTTCAATTACCATGACAAATTCCTGTTAAGTACAGCAAACTTATAAATGCTTCCAGTTCAGCTAGTAAGCTGACATAATTAAATACATTTTTAAAAATATGGCTGTTGGTGCATACAGAAGGTTGTACTTGCATTTCAGTCTTTGTGTATTTCACAGCATCTTGCAGCATTTTGTCTGTTACAATTTCCATCATTGAATGGCGGGGCTGGCATTCTGTCCAATACATTTCATCCCTTCCAAGACCCTCACTATATTTTCAGATCTAGTTCTAACACTGGATCATTCCATTTGGTTGTGTGACCATTTTGCAGCATTTTGACTAGTCAAATAGGTACTCACATTGCTGGGTTCTTCTTATCTGAATCAAGAATGTCTGCATTCTGTGTCCATACCAGTCAATTCTTGCTCCATTTCACTGTCACAAGAACTTTGGCTCACATAGCCAGTGTCGAAGTCATCATCATCATCCACTCACACCACTCTTCCATCATGAAAACATGTAGTTTACCATAATGGATCATCTCCATCCATGGATAAGTAATCTGATTATGCACTTTTGACCTCCTCCAAAACTTGCAGATCTGGTTTTTCATGTGCCATTTTACTGCTTCTACTAGAAAAATCAAAAGAAAACTTTTTACAAAACAAATCCTAGCGTGGAATTGGGTGTATTATACCGTCTGTGATGTTCAGATAAACATACACAAAACCTGTTTGACAGAGCATCATATAGGTATTAATCCCAGTTTGACATGTACACACCTTGCTGTTTGTCTGACAAGTGAGTAAACACAATAGTTGTGTCCTGTATCCCTCAAGGAAAGAGATTGAGATGCACAGCTGGCTACTACTATGCTAAAATAAAAATTTACAGTAGAAAAGTAAGGAATGTGTTTGTGAAACACAGTGTTGGGCTAGAGGAACTAAAATGAGCTCCAAAGTCAATGCACCTAGAAAATAAAGGGACCTGAACCTGAAGGTAAATGGAGTAAGGGCTAAACTGGTGTAGGTCTTGGTCACAGATATGTAAAACGAACTGTCAGGATAATGTCAGTGTTAGTTTGAACAGCCTGTGGGCTTGGTTGAGATGAAGTGTGGAGTTGGCAACTGAGCTCATCTGGTAACACAGTGGACAGCCAAGATTATACTTAACTCCCTAAAAGAGGAAGCCTTGACCACCACTTCACAGCAGCCTGAGGTCACAGGGCTATGCCTGAGGGTGAACTCGCTCTTAACTACCACAAAGGAAGTGCTGTATGTCTCTTGCTAGGACAGAGATTATTCTGCTGATCAATTTATGGCGAAGCAGAGCTGCCTGCTCCCCTTTCCTCCTCTTAGCAGGGGTGACAGTCTGCCAGGCCCACTGAGCTCCCTTTCTGCCTCTTTCCTCCTCCACTAGACTTAAGGATGAAGACACATAGGCCATCTTCCTTGCACAAGCACAAAAGTGTACACTCCCCTTCCCCAAGCATAGTAACAACCCAAAGAATTTGCATCAGGCCATGACATCCACTAGAAGAACTTACTCAGACAAGATGTTTTGGAGTTTTTTTCCACTTAGGTTTTTCCTTTTAAAGAACTAATGAGCTCCTTCAGTCATTTTCTTGAACAAACTAAGCATATGACAGGACAGTGTTGCAGATTTTTCTTAGCCTACTTCCTCTTAAAATACCAGTCTGTGGTTAGTCAAGCTCTGCGAATGACAGTTTCTCTTTCAGACTTCATGCGCAAACACAGCTCTCTGAACCTCCATGGTGTAGTGTCTCTCCTCCCCCAGTAAGGTAAGAAGTCCTAATGAAGCTTTAAGTAAATGAGATGTCAGAAATGTTCCCAGGGTCTTGAGTCTGAGTTCACCAGTTCTCGGCCTTATGTCCCTAGAAACATGCTTGATACCAAAACTGCCACATACTGTCCACCTAGCTTCAGCCTCTGTTCCCATCCAAGTAACAAATCAGAATAGCCTGCCTGACTTTGCCACAGTACTTTAGTTTCCATGTATGTCACTATTGTGGGCAGGGCATCAGATGCTGGGGATGAGTGGAGAGCAAGGCAGACAGAAGTAGATTGATTGAACCTTTCTTCTTCCTACATAGCTGATTGGCCCAAGACAAGCCTAGACCCTCTGAGAAATCTGTTTCTTCTGATTTTCCTACCGGAAGCAGTGATTCCTACTCTACAGGTGATTCTCAAGGTAAATACCAGACACAGGATACCTGGATGTAAAGAAGGCTCCCAGTGATAATTATTGTTGATTTTGCAAGAAGAGTTACTATACCTAAAATGCTCAGAGTAGTATACTAAACAAGGGCTGGTTTTACTACTGTAGGGGGATCTCTGGTCAAGTGATACTTGGGGCTTCTTGGAGGTACTGCTCTGGATGTGGCTAATTTGCCTGATAAAGGCAGAAAGTCTTTTGCCATGATTGAGGAAGTCAGATTCATCCTGTGGAGGGAAGTAAATCAGTATGTATCTTAGTATGAGCAAGAGCTGCAGTTAAAGAAGAACAGAACATGTGGGAAGATGAGATAGGAAGCCACAGCAGGACTCCAGATTCGAACCAAGGTAGAAGCTGTTGGAGATAAGTGGGCTGATCAAAGGGTGGTTACTCTTTTGTGGTGGATGAAGGGGAAGAAGGATCACAGATCACAGACGGATCTTGAGATTTCTGTCATAAGGCAACCAGAAGAATATTGATTCCATTTATGAAGAGGAAGAAATGGGCTTGGAAAATAAAATAATTCACTCAGAATTTATTTTAAATTGGATCAGTGCATAGTCATAGAGTTTATTCAACCAACAGCAAAAAGACATTGCTTTTCACTAGTTATGTCATGTATTTTTAAAATGGTGCCAAGTATTGTCCCTAACAGAGAGGCACTGGATAAGTGTTTATTTAATGAAGAAAGAAAGGAAGGCTAACATCCACCGAAATGTAAAGGTGTTTCTACCTTTCTACACAAAATAACTTCACATTCAGGAATTTAGCTGTCAATATCATTTTATGAAATTAGTACTTTATAAAGGGAATATAACTAAATTTTAGATAATTTTGAAAATTGAGAAGGCTATTATATTAGGAATCCCACCATGCAAATAAAAGGTTAGCATTTTAGTTTTAGCAAAGATAATGTTGTCCCTGTTCGAGTCAATTTGTAATGCCACTTATAAGCGTGTTTTAAATATCCAGGTTTTAAAAAAATTGACAGTAGTGTTGTTAGAGGCCTCACATATAACAAGTTAAAAATTAAAATAGAAGGCATTTTAAAGAGAAAATGTTTAAGTGCAGATAATAAATGTGAATGATAAAGGAAGATTCTTTGTTAGCTTCTGCTAATTGGGTTCTAGTATTTTTCAGATCTAAGGATAAGGCTTTGTTATTTGCACAGTTTATGCTCACATGGATTGAGGAAAGGAAAGTTTGTTGTACCTAATAAGTACCTGACTAAGTCACTGACAGAATGTAAACCATCTCAGAGTATGAGAACTCTAGCCTAAGTTAGACAAATCCACGCTATGAAAGATAAGGTAATTAGATGAACACAACAGAATTAGACAGTGGAATAAAGTTGTCAGAATTTGGGGTAAGAAGAATCGGGAAGCTCTTTAATGGTCTAGAGTTTTAGACTTGTGAGGTGAAAAACCTACTGGGCTGGGGATTTAGCCTAGTGGCACCATGGCCCACCTTACAAATACAAGGTCCTAAGTTCAATCCCCGGTACTGGGGGAAAAAAAAAACCCTAAAAAAAATCTTAAGATCTGTTTGGCACAAAGTATGAATGAACCTAATTCTGAACTGTATACTTACAAATGATTAAATCAGTAAAAGAGGGGAGAGAGGGAGGGATGGAGAAAAGGAAAGAAAGAGGAATCTTTTTGTTGTTTGTTTTTTGAGACAAGGTCTCACTTTGTAGTTCAGCATGGCCTTGAACTCACTATGTAGACTAGAATGGCCTCAAACTCATGGCAATCCTCCTATCTCAGCTTCCCAAGGCCTCAGATTACAGGTGTGCACCACCACACCCCACTGGAGTTTTCTAATAAATTTTAGTATTATTTAGAGGTGAGGGATATTGCTACATAACGTAAGACCCAGTTCTCTTAAGAGTATTAAATTATTTGTTGGAAAAAGCTTACAACTTAATAGATAATAATAATAGGGGAAGGGGGAGGAGTAGGAGGTCAATGACAATAACAACAGGTGCTCAACCTCCCTCCCTGAGCCTTAGGATGGCCTCAGGATAGTCTGTCATCCTCTCCCCACTTGCAGCGGCTGCTCTATGCCTATCAGCTTGTTACTACTTATATGTTATTCCATGGTATGTCCTTTAAAGTATTATTTCGTACTACTAAAGCATGGATGTATGCATACTGTCTCAGAAAAACTTAGTGCCAATGTAGGCAGAAGGGACCATGAGGCCAAATGAACAGGCAGACAGATCCAAACTGCACAAAATGCAACTCCTGGAGATTTAGGGACATACAGTGTGTGAGGTAGCAGTAAGACAGGGGGACCCTGGCATCCTAGGGGAGGAGGAAGGGGCTGCTGTGCTAAGCAAGACAAAGGTGGAGCTTTGGCCAGCAGGAATGTACAGAGCCTTTCTGAAAACATCAATTAAGAAACAATCTAGGTGACCGTGACCAGCACACCATGCTTGGCTGAGTATCCTAACTACTTTGTTTGTGGAGTTTGGGATGTATGCCAGGACCACCAGGTGGGCAAAATGGTGGTTACAACCAAGACAGCTGTAGTCCTGTTAACAGAGTCCTACATATACTGATTTCTAGAATAACCTGGGCATTTACTAAATGTTGAGAACTGTGTTTAGTTTGCACTTTGCATAAGTAATCTTTGAAACTAGAAATGGGCCTAGAGGTATCTAGTGTTATTCCTAAAATCACAGCACTCAGCTGGGTGTGATGACACAGGCCAATAATCCCAGTATTTGGGAAGCTGAGGCAGCAGGATCACTGCCCTGGGCTACATAACAAGACCCTGCCTCAGAAAAACAAAACAAAACAAAATAAAAACATACCACTCATGAATTAAGGACTTGGAGCAGCAAATTCAACTTTTCAGTAAGCACCAGCTATGCTCTGAATGACTGTGCTACACTGGAAAAGAATGCATATTTTGTGCAGAGTATAAAAATTCTAAGGAACCCTGTAGAAAGGTTTAAGAAATACTAACAGAAGAGAGCTCTTATAAATGTACCTTTCTCATTGCATCCATCATGAATTGTGAGAACACTGATTTGGTCTTTTGTAATCTACAACCTCCCAAGTTCCAACAACTCCAGCTTTGCTCGTTAACAGTACAGAAAGTTTTCAGATACTGACTTAGCACAAAATTTAGTTCTGTTATTAAATTGAACTCATGAGAACTATTCATTCAGAATCTCAAAACTCTTACTGTCCTATCAGAGAAGACTGTACCTGAATAGAAACAGATTATTGATTATTTACATATACTTCTAAATGCAAATTATAAAAAACATGCAGACAAGTAAATCATACGAGCAAAAAAAAAAAAATTATGATCTTTTGGGACTTGCCAAATTGGGTCATTTTAAAGATAGCCAAGATTTGAACACAAGCACAGATCAGCTTGCTGAAATACATGAATTTATAAGTAAATACTTAATGGGCTGTGTTCTTTTTTGTTTTTTTGAGACAATGTCTTGTTATATAATTCAGGCTAACCTCAAACTCATGGCAGTCCTCCTGTCTCAGCCTCCCAAGTGCTGAGATCACAGATATGCGCCATCATACCCCAACTGTAATGAGCTGATTTCTGACCCATTTTGTTTCATGAAGATAAGAAAAATAATCACATTCCTTAAAATAGAACATGTAGATAAGGGGCTCGGGATGTAACTCAGTGGTGGCATGCCTGCCTGGTAAGCATAAGGTCAAGAAAATAAATAAATAGAAAATGTGGATAAAATGATAATGGCCATCACAAAGATAAATTTGAATTAATCCATCACTGAAACTGTTAAAGAGCTGTTGTTATTAAAGGAACATTGTTACCCTTCTACTCAGAATATTTTTTCACTAAAATATGTGGCTTTTACGGATTTAGCTTCAAAATAATGATTTTAAATAAATTGTGAATTTGTAATGCTACGTTAATGTACACCAGTACAGACTTTCTGTCCTCTTCCTCTTCCTGATAACACCTCCTCTGTATTCACTTTCAACTGATAACTTTGATAGGTTCCCGTCCCAGGACAACCCCTCTAGGGCCCTGGATCCCACCCCTTCTCATCAACTCAAGGACGTTGCTCATCAGCTGCATTGCACTGTTTCTTGGGTTGTTCCTTTAAGTACACTATTATTCCAGTCTTAACAACAGATGAAACTCTCATAACTCCATTTTCTCTTGCCGAAGACTCACCCTTTATTTATAGCGGAATGAAGGAGGTACAGTGCTGCTCCTCGTATTCTCTCTTGAATCTTTCTAAATACCCTTTGTCCCCACAACTCCATCAAGGTCACGAATGCGCAACATGGTGTCAGAACCAGAGGTGAAACATCTCATTTGACTTGTCAACTTCTCCTGTTCAAACAACCCTGTTTTGAGACTTTCACTCAAATACTTTCTCCTCCTGGTTTCCAGGACCCAACCCTCTTCTCCTAGTTTTCCTACTTCACTCACTCTCCCTTCTTGGGATCCTTCACGGATTCTCCTTCACCTTCCTGACCTCCTGTTGCTGGGCTGTGGGGAAAACAGGGAAAGAAACAGAGGTATGAGCTCAACTGGGTAGGTTTATTTTAGGATAAACCTGGGAGGGACCACTCTGGCACTTAAACCAGAGCAGCTAGCTCTTGTTTGGGCTTATAAGTTCTTTTAGGGAGCATAAAGGGGAACTGCAGAAGGAAAAAGTCACAATGGGACTTTAGAAGAAAGTTTAGTACAAAGGAGTTACAGCTCTCTGCCTGGGACAGGGCTTGAGAATTTACAGAAAATTACAATTTGTTTGTCAAGAACAGGGCTGAACAATGATTGGAATTTGTGGATTGCAGCTATGGTCACTGGGCCTCAGTTACTTATCAAGAACAGGACTGAATAATGATGGGAGTTACAGATTGTAGCTATGGTTACTGGGCCTTACCAGCCCACGATTATACATTTCTAGCAGGTACACAAGGCTGTGGGGGCAGGGGGCGGCACAGATTTTTACATGATCT